TGTTTTGCAGGAATTTTAGCGAATGGAATCGACTTCTTTTGGTGATTCTGTAAGTGTACATGGTCGAAGTATTGATAAGGAAAACCTTATGCGAAAGTTGTTGTCAGAGGGGGACAGTGGAGTCGAGATTGTTTCGATAGTAGGGACGGGAGGGGTTGGGAAAACAACTCTTGCTCAAATAGCCTTTAATGATCCTGAAGTTGAAAAACATTTTGAATTAAAAATATGGATTTGTGTTTCAGATCCTTTTGACGTGAAGAAGATTGCAAAATCAGTTCTTGAGGCCGTTAAGGAGCCTTTCTCCGACTTCTCGAATTTGGAAATGTTCTTACAACGTGTGAAAAACTCAATTTCACATAAAAGATTTCTTATTGTCCTAGATGATGTGTGGACCGAGGACCCCATGAAGTGGGAACCCCTGAAAAACTCTCTCCAGGGTTCACCCGGAAGTAGAATTTTGGTGACGACAAGGAACGATCGGGTTGCAACATTGATAAGCACGACGAACACACCGCAACCATTGGGCAAACTATCCTATGAGGACTGCTGGTCATTATTAAGTAAGATAGCTTTTTTTGGAAAAAGTAAGGAGAAGTGCGAGATACTAGAAGATATTGGTAAAAAGATTGCGCTGAACTGCAAGGGGTTGCCACTTGCTGCAAAAACTATGGGAAGGCTATTACGCTTGAAAGATACTAAAAGAGAGTGGCGACATGTTCTGGAGAGTCCTTTGTGGCAGTTGAAGGAAGCGGAGGTTGAGCTTTTCCCTCATTTGTATTTGAGTTACAATGATTTGTCTCCAGTACATAAGCGTTGCTTCTCTATTTGTGTCATCTATCCAAAAGATACCTTGATACGTTTGGATGAGCTTATCAGGCTCTGGATGGCACATGGTTATCTTGGTTCGAGTGGAAATGTAGATCACATGCAAATGATGGGGTTAGATATCTTTAAGAGCCTAGAAATGCGAAATTTCTTTCAAGAGTTGGAAAAGGATAAATATGATGAGAGTAAAATCTCTTGCAAAATGCATGATATAATGCATGACTTCGTTACTTATCTCTCAAAAGACGAGTACAGCGAAATCTTTTATGATGGAGTAGAGATTACGAATTGTGATATCGGAAAAGTTCGCACCTTTTGTGCTAGAGGTGTTTCTCAAGAACGTCTCCCTTCAAATCTCTTTAGCCGTTTAAAATGTGTTCGGGTACTTATTGCGAGCGCTTGTGGTTTGCAAGAAATTCCACAAGAGATAGGAAATTTAATTCACTTGAGGTATCTTGACTTGAGCTTGAATCCTATAAGAGAACTCCCAGAAACCTTGTGTGATTTGTATAATTTGCAAACCTTGGATCTCCAAGAATGTCATCTCTCTGCACTCCCTCAAGGGATCTATAAACTAATAAATCTAAGACACCTTCTCTTTCCAATAGGTCTGTGTATGATTTCAATTCCTCAAGGAGTGGAGAGATTAACCGGTCT